TTCGTGAAGTACTACACGTTTAGATATGAAACTTACATCAATGGATAGAGGAACATGTGCCCTTCATAATGACACCTAGAATGAGAGATTTAGATAATTCTTAAATATTTTATGCTCCAACCTGTGGAGCCTTGTCTCAGCGGGACAGCACCCGTATAGCGCAAAGGAAGTCGCACTTTCTTTTTCTGATATTTCTTGAAGTACTGCAAGTTTAGATATGAAACTTACATCAATGGATAGAGGAACATGTGCCCTTCATAATGACATCTAGATTAACAGATTTAGATAATTTTTAAATATTTTATGTTCCAACATTTGGAGCCTTGTCTCAGCGGGACAGCACACGTATAGTGCAAAGAAAGTCAGAATTACGCCAAAATAGCAAGCAGTTGGACAACAAGTCGCACTTTCTTTTGCTGATATTTCCCCAATTACTGCAACTATTGATATGAAACTTACATCAATCGATAGAGGAACATGTGCCCATCATAATGACACCCAGATTGAGAGATTTAGATAATTTTTAAATATTTTATGCTCCAACATGTGGAGCCTTGTCTCAGCGGGACAGCACCCGTATAGTGCAAAGAAAGTCAGAATTACGCCAAAATANCATCAATGGATAGAGGAACATGTGCCCATCATAATGACACCTAAAGTGACAGATTTAGATAATTTTTAAATATTTTATGCTTGAACATATGGAGCCTTGTCTAAGCAGGACAGCATCCGTATAGCGCAAAGAAAGTCAGAATTACGCAAAAATAAGAAGCAGTTTGACAACAAGTCATATTTTCTTGTGCTGAAAATATGGATATGAAACTGACATCAATGGATAGAGGAACATGTGCCCTTCGTAATGACACGTAGATTGAAAGATTTAGGTTATTTGTAGATATTTTATGCTTGAACATATGGAGCCTTGTCTCAGCGGGACAGCACCCGTACAGCGCATACAAACTCAGAATTACGCCAAAATAGCAAGCACTTGGACAACAAGTCGCACTTTTTTGGCTGATATTTCCCGAAGTACTGCAAATATAGATATTAATCTGACATAAATGGATAGAGGAAAGTGTGCCCTTTAAGTTGAATTCAAGTATGCCAGATGTAGATAATGTTTAGACATTTAATGCTCGAATATATGGAACATTGTCTAAGGAGGATAGGACCGGTATAACGCAGACGAAGTCAAAATAATGCCAAAATAGGAAGCAATTGGGCAGCAAGTAGCTCTTTCCTTTGAACGCATGGAATTCCATATCTGCCGTCGCCTGTCGCATTTTGCTTTTTGTTATGTCCCAATTCTGCCATTTACTAGTTCCAAACACGCCATTTTCCGTCGTGCGTCGCCCGTTGTCCGTCGTGCGTCGCCCGTCACCCATCAAATGGGTTGCATAGGACCTGCAAAAGCCGGGGTTTAACAAATGACGATGCTATGGTTCCGTTCACTTCTGAGGATCTTTTCCCCATAAGGCAAGTACATATCCCACCCGCAGTGCTAGTCCCATGATTTATGCCAATAATGCTAGACTACCCCTTCCCCTTGACAAGAAAATGTCGCCTTTCTGAGAATTCAAACAAGTGTTTTTTTGGGGAAAACATTTTCAGCAAAACTGTTCAGGCCAACTTATCCACAGTCTAATTCTAATTTGCATACTGTAAAGACGTGCCGACTTGTTTTCATCAAATTCTAGAAAGAAATCTGCCAACCGATACAGATATTCCATTTGGTCCTCTCAATTTCACCTTGTAATACAGGAATACTAGACAGTGCCGTGGAAAACAAATTGTTTATTAAATGTATTGTTAGGGGGTAGTTACCACTTGGCTTAAGTTTCAGAAAATGTGACGTGTTGGTTTTTGGGGGTGTGTATGCTATGGTGGATAGACCAATGAGAACAGGTTGTCCAGCATATCAGCATTATTTATGGGGCTAACAAGTAACCTTACTGTTTAAAAGACTTTTGTGAGCCTACCAGCAACTAATTTGGAGTATACAGGAGATTTCATCATAGGTATACCCCCCTCCTCAAAATAATGTTGAATCAGTTCGTCTCTTATGAAAACTATTAAGGAATCAGACATTGTAAATAATTTATCATTTACATTCCGTTCAGTGGGACATCGTGCAANGACAGACAGAAATATTGCATAGGCTATAGACCTAAAGTCAGGCTGTTAACGAGTAAAGTTACGTCTAGAATAACTAAGTTATCGAGAAAAACAATCTACCCTAACAAAAGTCTGTTTTGTTAATTTATTTATATAATAAAAAATACACACGTTCATACACACGTTACTTAACCGATGTCAGGATATTATTTCTTCTTTCAAGTGGAGTTCGGCGCAACTGGAAAAATGAATACATGTACATCTTCTAGTTCTAGTGCTAAAATGAGATTCAAGCATGGTGGATCGATCAAACAAGGACATGTGAATGTGAAAGGGTCAAAGTTAAAAATACCTTTGCGCAATCGTGACAAAAAACGGGCGACGCACGACGGACGACGCACGACGGGCGACGGCAGATATGGAATTCCATATTTCCCTAACTACTTCAAGTATGGATATGAAACTAACATAAACGGATAGAAGAACATGTTTCCCTTTAAGATGACACCACGATTGGCAGATTTAGATAATTTTTAGACTTTTCTACGCTCAAATATATGGAGCCGTGTCTAAGCAGGAAAGAACCGGTGTAGCACAAAGAAAGTCAGAATTACGCAAAATAAAAAGCAGTTGGGCAACAAGCGGCACTTTCTTTTGCAAATATTCCCTGACCTACTGCAAATATGGATATGAAACTTACACAAACAGATAGAGGAAAATGGGCCATTTAAGAAGATATCTCTATTGCCAGATTTAGATGGTTTGTAGACCTTTTAGGCTCAAATATATGGAACATTCTCTGCGCGCAAATAGGGCAAAAAAAGTCAGAATTAAGCAAAAGTTGGAGGAGAATTCGCACTTTCTTTTGCAGATATTTTCTTAACTAAAGCAAATATCAATATAAAACTTACATGCATGGGTAGAAACACATGTGTACTTGACAATGACACCTCGATTGGCAGATTAAGATAATTTGTAAGCATTTTATGCTCGAATATGTGGAGCCTTCTCTAAGCAGGACAGCACCGGTATAGCGCAGACAAAGTAAAAAAGAAGTAGTTGGAAAACAAGTAGCAATTTCACTTGCAGATATTTTCCTAACTCCTGCGAATATGGAAGAGAACATTACATGGATGAATAGAGGAACATGTGCCCTTTAGGATAACACCACGATTGCCAGATTTGTAGACCTTTTATGGTCGAACATGTGGAGCATGCCCGGAATCAGGACGGGTATAGCGAGGACAAAGTCAGAACTACGCAAAAATAGGAAGCAGTTTGACAAGCAGTCCCACTTTTTTTGCAGATATTTCCTTAACTACAGCAAATACGGGAATACATATTAGATCAATGGATAAACGATTATTTTAGCTTTCAGATGCCACCACGATTGCGAGATTTGGATAATATTCAGATCTTTTATTCTCAAATATATGGAGCCATTATTTCTCGAGGATAAAGTGTGGGGAAATGGAGAACTGCTTAGAATGGCAAGCAGTAGAGCACGAACTCTTGCCTAATTGTGGGGATATTTCACTAACTACAGAAACAGGGATATTCAAATTAGATCAACGGGTAGAGGATTACATGGGCTTTCGGATACCACCATAATTTCCATATTTGGTTTAGTTTCAGATCTTTTATTCTCAAATATATGGAGCCATCTTTGCGCAGGAATACGACCGTTTACGTGTGGAGAAAGAGAGAATTGCACAGAACTTGCAAACATTATGACAAGAACTCTTGTCTTATTTCGCCTATATTGCACTAACTAGAGTGAATATTGATTTGAAAAGTAGATCAACAGGTACAGGATCCTTTGTACTTTCAAATGCCACCACGATTGTAAGATTTGGATAATTTTCATTTCTTTTTTTCTCGAATATTTGGAGCCATCTTTGCGCGGGAACAGGCCCAGTTAAGTGTGGAAAAGGGACTGAACACAAGAGCTCTTGCCTAATTCCGCGGATGTTTCACTGACTACAGCAAATATGAATATAAAAAATAGATCGAAGGATAGAGGACCCTTTGAGCTTTCAGATGCCACCACAATTACCACATTTGGATAATTTTCAGATCTTCTATTCTTGAATATAAGGAGCCATCTTTGCATGGAAACAGACTTGGTTAGGTGTCGAAAAGGGAGAACTGCAAAGAATTTCAAGCAGTATGACAAGAACTCTTGCTTGACATCGTGGATATTTCAGTAACTACGGAAGATATGGATAGAAAACTAGATCAAATGACAGAGGACCATTTTAGCTTTCAGATGCCACCACAATTGCCACATATGGAAATTTTTCAGATTTTTTTTCTCGAATATAAGGAGCCATCGTTGCTCGGGACCAAGACCGGCTAAGTGGGGGAAAAGGGTTAATTGGACTGAAATAGAAAGCAGTAGGACAAGAACTATTGCCCAATCTTGCAGATAATTTTTCTTACTATGGCACATATGGACTTGAAAATTAAATCAATGGATAGAGTCAAATTTCAGCTATCAGATGCCACCACAACTACCATTTTTGGACAATTTTCAGATCTTTCATTCCCGAATACAAGGAGCTGTCCTTGCTCAGGAACAGGACCGGTTAAGCTCAGATATAAAGAACAGACTTTACTCAGAAAGCCTATTGAAGCGAGTACCCTTGGGGAATGAAACAATTGGAAGCATAACTAACCCATACTGTTGTCTTCATTCATGGACATGTGTCCACAATTTAAAAATATCGAAATGATAAGTGGAACTATTGAATACAAAAAGAGTATCATTTTAGACAACACACACCAGGATAAGTCTAAAACGTGAGATATTGAGATCATACTTTGCATAAAAAGACGACCCCAAAAACCAATGGGAATAATTAAAAATAAAAAGCAACACTTACCCAAACTCTTGCTTTCATTTGTTCATATTTCTTCAATCCTTTAAATATTGAGATATAAACTACAATAGTGAGAAAGAAATTATCTTTTTGAATGAAACCAAGATTGGGTTATTTGGAACATTTCTAACTTTTGAAGCTCAAATAGGGAGATTTTTATAGACCAACCTTTGTGCGTATAATAGGGGGAATGAAAAATATGTAAGCGAGACCGGCCTCAACTGTTGCTCTAAATCATAGAAATTTTTCCAGTATTTGAAAATATGGAAATGAACTTGTACCAAAGTATGTTGAAGTGTGTACCCTTTGGTATCACACCAGAATGGCCCAATTTGTGTCATTTTCATTTTTTTTAAAAGGATAGCTGCAATCAATTTTTTGGTGATTACAAACCTCCCAAATGGACCTTTGTACCTCTTAAACCTTATTTTTAACTAATTAGTGTTCACATATTCATGAGCAAAACTGTATTGTCACCTTAGGAAGAAGCCTCTGTTTTTGCATTGTTGGTTTGTACACAAAAAGGTCCTGCGTTTTTTCCTTGACTCAGTCTCCTCTTCTTTGCTGATTCACTGGTGTTTATCTGCATAGTAAGAGGAAAGCATTAACCCCTCTCTCGGAAATGTTTCACTCGGTAACTTCTGAGCAACGTTTGAACTGAAACGCCTGTGCACTATGTCTACCCGGGAGGATTTCACATCAACAGCGCCCTCAATTGTCCGGGAAAGAATGGATAATTTTAATAGTTCGAAAGCAGGCACTTTTCAGTGCATTCAACCAAATACGAGTGTAAAAGAGTTTTCACACAAGAAGAGTGCAAAGATGCAAAAAACGTATGTATAATAAAACTCATTGCAGCTACACTAAAAAGCTCGGATATGGAGACGTGACTTTGCTAGAAACGAGAACAATCAACGCGTGTATAGTGGTTTTATGGAAAAAAATACATTCGAAGCATGCCTGACCTAAAGTGTCCTAAAGATGTCTTTATTTTCATATATTCTTTTACGTGTGAAAATATGGAGATGTAACTGTTACAGTTAATTTGGTGAGGAATCAAATCCCCCCTCTGGTGATACCAAGATAGGCCGATTTTGACAATTTCTAGACTGTTTGACCTCAGGTGTAGGAACTAAACTAAGTAATGTGCAAAACTATAACAAATATAAAGAACTGGAAGCATAACTGACCCAAACCCTGTCTTTGTTTAGCAGGCATTTCGTTTACGTTTGGAAATATGTAAACGAACTATTTTGAAATAGAGAAACACGTACCCTGTCTGATGACACCTGTTCGGCCGATTTGCACATTTTCGACTATTTCACTTCAGATAACGGAGACGCATTTTTGCTGCAAAAACAGACCGACTAAGATAAATACGACGGAGGAAACGAATAAAAAAAATGAAGGCTGACTGACGCCAGCGTTTAGCATCATTCGCAGATATAAGTCTCCAGTGACATGTTATATGAACTTCAAATCCTTCCCGGGTTAAAGAAATGTCAACATACACAGTGAGGAATGCAATATGAAGGAATAGAGCGGGGGTTTACAGCCTCATTCAGTGTTGCTAAACAAATAATATATACAGTAACAAATGTATAGCCTACACAAAAAAGACAACATTTTTAGACAAAGCGTATGACTGCATAAACAACTGTATAACTGTCCAAAATAACCACTGTACATAACGCAGTGAATGCCTACGGAATGAGGGCGTTGGCCAAAAAGAATTTTGGGTACGGTGTTTTCGGCATGACAAGGTAAATATCAAAATATACACAATATAAATATGAAGTGAATCGAACCTTCACAGTTATACATGGTATTGATTAGGTTTATAGTACTCACGAGGGAGGACACAATAACGAGATGTTGCAAGCTTGGTGCTGGCTCATCCTGGTTTTGCCACACCCTGTATAGCCAGCGGGAAAACCAAGGGATTACGCAACTGCATACCAAACATGCCTTAGCAGGGCCTGGCGCAGGAGACACAAAGCTCGAGTTATACTGTGACTTACAAGCTGCGTGGTACCCGACTGTTTGAAAGGGTTTGGGTGAAACTGGGGGGAGAAGACGAGAGTGGGCTGTGGTTTAGCGTTATTGGTGTTTTGACTCGTGAACTGTGCGCAGTGGCACCTGTCGTATGTACACATGTAAAAGACTTGGCTGCGGGTTAACTCTAAAAGCGTCGGGGGCGGATATTCCCCCCACACATTTTCTAATATTGCCCAGACTAATTTTTCAGGGATTTATAGCAATATTCAGAGTAACTCTTTGCTGTCTTTTTGAAACCAATTTTGTGGAAATCAAACATACGTTCTTACGCAGTGCCCATTTTTTTTCAAAGGAAAAGTCAGCAAAAAAATGTATGCTTTCTTTCTCCACTGTGCACACGGCTCAGTGCACACCGGCTGGCACATAGTACACATGTAGCCTCGAACTTCCAATGACCGTGACAACAAAACTGTATGCCTGATTGAGTTCAAACTTCACAGTTATAATGCTAATTATTGTCTGTACATGCATGCCATTTTTTAAAAAGTCCAGTGTGGCACAGCGAAGTCGAGGAGGCGGCGGAATCCACCCCACCTGGCTGTAAAATGAACCAAAATATCCCGGCTCTCTGATGATAAGGGTGCTACCATTATCATGGCCGTCAGTGAAGCGGAAGCAGTAGTCAAGTGTAGAAAAGAAATTGCGGCTAAAAGCATCCACAATCACACTCAATGATTGGTGTACAGGTGGAATCAAGCTATGAATGATTATCAGTTTTAACGGCTGTTTCTTGACTCTACTATGCAAACAGGCTTTAATCGTCGTACACTGTATATGCCCGCGGCACGTTGTCAAGGAAAAGAAATTAAAGTGAGTTGAGCAACAGTTACTGAACAGTTGTAAAAACGTGCATTATATATGCATGGCGCGGCCTCTTGATAAGTCGAGTGTGCGCATGGTTACTTGCGTTTTATGGCCCCTCGGGTATAGAGGGATTTCATATTAGCGCCGTCTGCGCATATCTGCATCTAAACCGAGGCTCTCTGTGTTGAACTTAGTCGCGCGCGCGCACGGAGTCGACACAGTACATGCAGTATCCGGTTCGTATGTGTGACGCTACTTTAGTTTAATCCACGCCCACTGCACATGCATATCCACGACCGTCGCAGGTACGTTAGTTCGCGGTAAATTGCCGTTACTTTTTCTTTTGATTTTACGTGTCAAGTCATCCTAAAAGACTCTTTCACAAAAATTTGCTGCCTGAAAAGTCTGAATTTAACATACCTGTATGTATTTTGTGTCTTGACTCCTTACTTTCAATCGTTTGATCGTATTAAGAATGGAAGCTGACACACACAGCATACACCAGCTACATACAGCTAAAAGCGTCGTATTAGGATCCCTCTATACATTAGCCTTTTAGAAGTATGGCAGACACAATAGGAGGGCGCTGTTTGAAGTGGTACATATTTGGAGCAAACACAAAAGATTATTTCCCAAACCAAACAGCGCTCTCCTATTGTGTCTGTCATACACCTAAAAGGCTGATTGTGCTCTATAAAGAGAAAGCATGGGAGCCGTGCAAACATATGGACGAGGGGTGGCCACGCCCCTTGGACAAAAATCATTTTTCAAAGGTCACGCCAAGCAGCGTATCAAGCTTTTGGTGTTGGGGGGGATTCGGAAGCGAATGGGGCTTCGGGCTTATTCGACATATGATGTTTTTGGGGAAAAACAAATAACAAAAGCCTTACGATTCGACATCCTTGCTTTTATGTCGTGTTGTCGTGTTTTGTTGCTAATATTTGATAAATAAAATATTAATATTTGACTTGAAAGAATCTGTCAGTTGTCAAGGAAACATGGATAATTTTAAATGTATAACGTCGCACTTTTGAATGCATTCAACCTAAAGGAGATGTCAAGTAGTGTTTCATTATTGAAGAAGTTTGTGACATTCCAGGACAAATATTATGTCCATGTCACATCATTGCAGCAACCTTTAACCCTATAATACATAACAAAATTAAATACCGAGGAATTTCATATCATTAGAAAAAAACGCACGGATCTTTCAAAACCCAATTTGATTGGGATTAGATAGGGGCACCAGACTAAAATCACAGTGCAGAATGGAGTGGTTTCCAACCCCCCCCCATCCCTCAACCCTCACTTGCCAACGCAGATTTATGTCACTACCAGGTAGAATAATATTTAGATTTCACTGAGGCTCTTCTTGCTGTTCACTGGCACTATGGACATTAAAATTAACTAGTAAAACTGTTGTTTTTGTTGTTGTTGTTTTTTTTTTTTTTTTTATTTAAGTTAACTTTCTTTGGTCAACCATGATAATACTACAATGAGAAAAAGATATAACTTCAAAATTCCCTCTACGCGGGACTTTACTGGTTAGTATAACGCAGACAAATCATTCAGCTTTTCAGTGACACAGAGTTTTTGGGAGTGAGCAAAACCAATTTAAAAACAACACGCACTGAAGCCCCATTAACACAGTGGCTGACTATCTATGGTCTCTTGTGGAAATTACGTTCGACAATTGAATTTTCCAAACATAGGCTTATGTAAATAATCATTATCATATTTTCTTTCTGTCCTGCCACTCTAGGGAATTTCAGGCCTTGTATATCATCCATAAATTAAAAGTGCTGGCCTACGAAATAAACAAATAAATTAAATATTTCCACAGTTGGAAAATTTGTTTAGATTCAGACAAAATTTGGTCCTATATTTTTATCGTATATACAATACTTGATGTAAGTCGTATAAGTTGCGTACTAAGATGCAAATATGGGATATAATTCATAATTCGCATGAGTTTGCCGAAGTTATTTTTCAGCAAGTCCTTGATGCAACTTCGTATTGGGGAGAACCAGTTAAACAGTTTGGCCCTATACAAAGTCTGTCCTCTCTTCGGTAAAGAAAGCGTTCATGCAAGAGGAAAGTAGAGGTAATTAGGAAAATGAAATATCGTCTAAGGCTACCCTGCAGAATATCCAATGCAGTGCAAGCGATTTTAAATTCCAAAGATCCATAATTTAACATAAATTATGGCAGATTAGGGAAATTGTTCTTTTTTTTTTCAAATACAATATTCATCCCACTGCATCGCCATATGGTAACTAAATGGCTATACTACTAATTATTCCGAATGGAAGACACAATGTCGTTCTTCAGAAATTGGCAATGCTAATGGGGCTGATGTTGGCAGTCCTTACAGCTATTTTGCATGTATACCATTGCATATATTGATGGATAGTGCCATGAATAACCATGACAAAAGCTACAGTATTGCTTTTCGATTGCATATTTAATCTCTTCTGAGAGAGCTGCATTAGATATGGCAAATCGATTGCTACTGTTACTTTACCTGATAATGTGCGACAGACTGATGTAATTTCAATAGCAGTACGGTATCCACTTGTTAATTAAACATATTGACAATGGTACATGTTACCTTAAAGGTCAGGCCAACAACGCAGTGTAGAGCAAGAGTTTACAAATTAATTGGTTTTCCTCAGAAACTTCAAAAACAATAATTAAAAAAAAATCATTTACGCCACCGTACCAATTTTGGTTGCCCCTGGCTGCAGGCCAGTTATAGTTGAACGTCCCCTGATGATTCAACTAAGCAATCAACTGAGAAACATTTGTCCGACTTCTAAAATACGTGTAAAGTTTCGACTTTGTTGGAAATAGCATTCAATGGTTGTTAAGGTGTTTGTATGTGGGTAATTCCAGAAATTAGGGGTCCAAAAGTGTGACATTTTCGTGTCACTATTACGTCTGACCTTTGTTATTTAACATGGAAATATCACCGGAACTGATTTCAAACTATTGTTATTTATTTGGTGGATAATTTGCATTAATACATTACAGTTAGAAATTAGAAAATATGTTCTGAATTTAAAAAATCATATGTCGGATGTGATAAGGACACGAAAACCATGGACCCCTAATTTCAGGAATTACCCAGGTGTGAAATTGATGTATTGACAAAGTGTCACAATACATTAACATTAATTTTCATAGTTTGGGTCCCCCCAAGCACGTATTTCATTTGAAACAGGAAATGTAAAATTTCAACCTCATTCAGTAAGCCAGTTACCTAAGAATGCATATTTAAAATTTAAAAATTATTTCAGGAATTACCCAGGTGTGAAATTGATGTATTGACAAAGTGTCTCAATACATTAACATTAATTTTCATAGTTTGGGCCCCCCCCAAGCACGTATTTCATTTGAAACAGGAAATGTAAAATTTCAACCTCATTCAGTAAGCCAGTTACCTAAGAATGCATATTTCCCGTTCCATGAATAAACCTGGTAGTCATGTCCTTGGAGAATAATATATTCACATTTCTCCGGCAGTGAGTACCAGCGAGGAGTAAACCTTGTAGCTTTAAGCCTGGAGAAATCAAGTGAGGCTTCAGGCCTCAACAACTGTAACGCATTGCTTTGCTGAAATCCTATTAGTCGAGGCAGAGATAGGTCCTATAGTTTAATCACGGACCATAGTGCACCTGACCCACCTGTTGATAGCGCGGATTAATACAAGTTTGATTGGACTACGTCACTCATAATAAACCCTGTAATTCCAGTGCGACTCATGTTTGCTCACATATGCCTACGCCTGAAGCTTGACAGAGTTATTTAATCCGCCCTGCTTTTTCTGGCGGAGGATTTTTACAAAACTATAAGTACTGCCATACTTTGAACTCACGGCTTCATCACCAACATCGCATCTACTGGTGCAGGTGTTTTGACAAAAAGTCACCAATTTCCCTGAGAAAAACTTAAAGCGTTCGTTTCCTGACCTGAAAATGTGCGAGATCATACAACTTCAAGTTGGCCATTGTGGAAACGAGATCGGTACCAAGGTAAGAGTTGTATCTGTGTTTTTCGTTATGTTCCTGTTCCACCATCAGACTTACTATAGACCTAATAAATTCAACTGAATGTGGTAAAACATGATCGATATAAATACCTTTGACTGTTTGAGAAATTCGTAGCATCATTCGAATACGAGCGTTCACAATTGTGCTCCTTCAAGAGTTTGCAACGCGTTGGCAAATCCCAATGGGCGAAATCTGTCGACCCGATCCGCGTTTGGAAAGGGTCGACAGATTTCGTGCGTTGTGATTTGCCAACGCGTTGCAAACTTTCGGAGGCGCACCTCTGTGAATAACCCGTATTCCATGTAAAACAATTCATTGTAGTTTATGGCAAAAAGTCTTTATTCCAGTTTTTCTTTCTTGCGTTTTCAGATATTCGTAACAGTTGCAAACATAATTTTATCTTTGGGAAATCGCTTGTGTTCCTAATTCCTGTTTTCCTTCTCTCATAGTTTTATGAGGTGATTCTTAAAGAGCATGGCGTCGACCAAACTGGTGCATACCAAGGCACCTCCGACTTGCAGTCGGATAAACTCGAGGTTTACCTCCGCGAAACGAACGCAGGCAGCTACCAACCTCGAGCCGTCCTGGTCGACCTGGAGGAAGACACCCTGGCCTCTGTCAGCTCCGGACCGCTGGGCGGGATATTTGATCCGGACAACTTTGTCGTCGCACAGGGCGGAGCTGGGAACAACTGGGCCAGAGGTTTCTTCGGCGAGGGGACTAAGCTGGCAGAAAACGCGATGGACGTTGTGCGCAAAGAGGCAGAGAGATGCGACTGTCTGCAGGTGTGTACACAGTCGATCATCTGCACATGCTTTAAAATAAGACAGAGTTCTATTTGTGTCTGTAATAAGCCAGCTCAGTGTTTCAAAAAGACAAGGTCCTTCGGGAGCAAATCACACGCTTGATTCGGGGTATGTATGCACTGATAGGATAGACAATCGCGCGCGCTCCTGCAGCTCCCAAATTACCTCAAACGCGAATCAAAGGACATGCAATGTTGGAATACTAAAACTGGCTCACGGTAGGAAATTGAGGAATTAAATGGCACTGGCCCACGACACTAATCTCGATAATTCTGTAAACCATTGGTTATAGGTAAATCGTTATCGATTTTTTTTTCTTCCAGGGGTTCCAACTAACTCATTCTCTCGGTGGTGGCACAGGTTCGGGTATGGGCGCACTGCTTTATCAGAGGATCCGAGAAGAATACCCAGACCGCATGAAGTGCACCTTCAGCGTTGTACCATCTCCTAGGGTCTCCGAATCGGTGGTGGAACCGTACAACGCGATGCTTTCCTTCCAAAAGCTGTTAGAATCTTCAAAGGGGACCTTCTGCATCGACAACGAAGCCCTGCTCAACATCTGCTCTCGCACTCTGAAGCTGTCCAACCCAACTTACGCTGACCTCAACCACCTCGTGTCTGCTACCATGAGTGACGTTACCGCCAGCCTGAGATTCCCCTGTCAAATCAATTCAGATCTCCGCAAGATGGCAGTCAACCTGGTACCATTTCCCCGTCTCCACTTCTTCGTGTCTGGCTTAGCTCCACTGACAGGAAGAGTCAGTCAACAGGGCGTCTCCCTCACCGTTTCGCAGCTCGTCCAGCAGATTTTTGATGCCCAGAACATGGTGGTGGACTGCAACCCTCGTCACGGCCGCCACCTGACCGCTTGTACCCAGTTTCGTGGTTCCGTTTCCATGAAGGAAGTCGAAAAGCAACTGGGAAACCTTCAGGACCAAAGCAGCAGCCACTTCGTGAAATGGATTCCCAACAACGTGGTAGCCTCTGCCTGTGATATCCCGCGCAAGGGTGGGAAAACGTCCGGCATTTTCATTGGTAACCACACTGCCATCCAGGAGATGTTCAAGCGCATCTCGAAGCAGTTCGCCGCTCTGTTTCAGAGCAAGAAATTCTTGCACGAGTACATCGCCGAAGGTATGAGCGAGCAGGACTTTAGAGACGCCGAAAACAGTGTTAACGACTTGGTAGCAGAATACCAGCAGTATCAGGATACAACAGTCGATGTAGGGGCCAACTACTAGGAGGAAATGAATGAATGAGACGAATGATAAACAGTAAACACACACAAGTCATGATCATCACTGCAGTCTATACCTTAAATGTCTTCTTATAAGGAGTTTGCAAGGTTGCATACTCTGCAATTGTCTCATATAATAATATGTTGGTAGTAATTGCTCGGAAACAATTATTAACCGCTCTTTGACTGATTCCCAATGACAGCATTAAAACATCCATGTTTCTCCAAGCACAGACACACAAAAATATAACATTGTTTGGCCTTGTAAGAAGAAAAAGTACAAGTGGAAATGACTTTTTAAACATAGAATAAAATAAAATGCAATCGCACACATTCTTCAATTTTAAATGAATTAAAGTTGTAAGGAACGGGTGCGAACGGGGCATTGTTTATTTATAATTTAAGTGATTATTAATCATGTGAGTATTCAGCCTCAATTCAATCTAAGGATTGTTCATCTCGATATGGTGTTGGTAATTAGCTTTTGTATTATGCAGACAGGGAAGAAATGTGTAGATTTATAACACGGATAGATTGGTGATTCTAAAAAACAATCAACGAGCAAACGAAAACAGAGAGGTACTAAACTTAAATACAAATAAACATTCAGATTTATGAATAAAAGTTAAGATCACAAAGGCGGAAAATACATCTCCATTTCAATACATTTTCCAATTATTCAGAGTGATTCTACTTTTCTATTCCTGTATTTGCCGTTTCCTGTACTTTTAATGAGGGGGTTAGTGTTGGTAGATTCATGCCAGAAAACAGCTCACACGGAAATTTCAGCGTGTAACATCTCGACTTCTTTCTTTAAAGTGTATAGACGAGTAAAATGTAAACCATTGGAATGACTTTTTGTGGAAGTATACTGTATAGGGTATACATTAATATACCTTGCACGCCCAGAGCATAAAAGGAGATATTCTCAGTACTTTTGATTCATATGTTATATGTATTTTATTCTGTCAGATGGAGAAATCCACAACGCATTACTCAGTATCACATTTCACATGATTAAGAAATTTTTTAAAGTATTTGTTCAAGTGTATTGTAAAACTATCAAAATCCATTTTGACTCTGTATCCCTTTCTACCGCTTTGGTACTGCGTGGCAACATGCGCATAAAACTAAGTTTGAAATGTTCAGTTTTCTTTCTCTACACTGCCATTGATTCTGTGTCATGTGCCTCAATGCGATAACTCAGCGGCCAGTAGGTTCCATAGGTGCACGTTATCCGCCTCGAGTAGAAGTACCCCCTCATCGATTGGAAAGAGCCATTCTGGTCGGGAGTTTTCATTTTTTTGGTAGCAATGCGACCACAACGCATGCATTTCATAGTCGTTCGTGAACCATCGAAGTGCAGTGCCGACCACAGGAGCCACCATTGCTATGAAAATTGCGCCCTCTCTTGCTCCAGCTTGAGGTCCATATCCAGTTGCATTCCAAAACATGGATGTAGTCACACGAGAGAAACGTGCAGTGAGACACGTGGCTGTGTACTGCAGTGCTAAGATGCACATTTTTACATATTCATAGCACCTGAGGTGCATGTTTAATAAAGTGTTCTCGCAGATTACAAAAGGACTGCAGATCTGGACAGGACTTTACCCAAAGTGGCAATGTTTTGGGCCTACTCACAGTAAGAGGATAGAACAGATCCCCCAAGATTTCGAGTGACGTAAAACCGATTTTGTTTAAGACGCAAATGTATAACGTATATATAAAGTTCCCAATTTAATCCATTAATTAAACTCTGAGTTACTTGCTTTCATAATCAACACATGCACATTCAGTGCACATGTGTCATGCGTGTAGACCAGTGTTATTGTTCAAATGAACTCTAACCAAGGAGTGCTCAACAAAAATTGCGTCACGCTTCCCAGCGCTAGGGTGCTTGGCACGAGCGAAAACGCTGTAAGGTTCAAAACTGCAGTTTGAAGTTCGAATCAGTGTGCAGTTTTTGCACTGCTATTGTTGTGACTGGTCGTTCCTTCAGACGTTCTTTGTTGTTTTTGTAACGATGAGACCACGGTGGCCAGATGGTGTTTCAAGCGCTCCAAGAATGCTTCTTTCTGCAAAACACACACGACAAAGCATAAGACGCAGAAAAATGACAGAAATATATAGCTATCGATGGGAAATGGATTGACTCGATTATGGTGTGTTTCAAAGAAGTACTTCCCGGAAAGGGACCGGTTGAAACACGCCATGTAAAAGGCAACAATATACACTGATATGAATTCGTAATCATCCGGCGATTCCTCCAGTAAATTCCGCAAAAGACCTGCGCAAAATTGAGAAGGTTCCCTTCTCTTCTCCTCAAGGAGTTTTTAAGTGTAATCTCGTGTTATCTGCTATGACTGTACAAACCGAATTCGATAATGCTGCACTCGTTACTGCTGTTAAATTTGAGCGACAATATCCTATCCAACACTATGTTTCCCTTATATCATTCTTACTCGATTAAGTTTCTCTTCGAGCCCGACGCACGATGCATCGCCTGTAAAATCGGTCAGTACGGCTGTGGAGTGATTAGACGCGAACCTTGTCATCATGCTGACTTGGAAGTTGGATTTACCAACTTTATACAGGAGATAAATCTAAACAGGCAAAAAACAAGATCGGCAATAGTGACAAATGTGGTTTTATACAGTAACCGAATGATCATTTACGCAATCGAATACTGCAAACTAGTGTGGACTTTTTTTAAGAAAACTAATACAAGCTGTGAAACATGACACTTAATATCAAAATTCCTCTTGCGGAGGACTCAGTATGCCCCTTTTGTGAGCGAGCACAATCTGCCCTGATTTTCTTTTCTTTTACCTTTGGAATAAACACCAGACACAAGACGGTGGTGTTGGCAATGATAATGGCCGAGCCGAGAATGGCGAAGTTAAGGGTCACGTCTTGTCGGACCACGTGGAGATTGAGCAGCGGCAGAACGATAGCAAGAAAGATGGCCACGATGTAGATGGACATCCCGATGTACTTACCTGACAAGAGCATGACCAAAGTAGGTGGTCAGACAAACCTTGAAACGTTTTTCAGATAATCATTTCGACTTACAGTAAGTAGTTGAAGGTCCCAGATGAGTTGTTGATAAAATGGGGTATCTCTCAAAGACATTATTACTGAATACAAGATCATAAAGTTTTTCTGAATCGCCATGGCAAGCTAAAGATATCTAAGAGTGCGATAAATCGTCTTTTACATAAAGTAAAACAGCAGGTTGCTTAAGTAAGAAGATGGAAACTATTGTTAAAGATATCCCATTGATAATGACGCGCAGATAACATGCAACGTTCTTCGTCTGTACGCACAATCAGTGGTGGTCTGCTGGTAGGTTCCACGAAGAATATCTCAGGTGTCTACTCTAAATAAAACCACAACACTCTCTTCGAAAATATATTGCAAGTTTAAAGCAAGCAGAAAAGATGTATCCGTTGTAAAAAAAAATCCCCTGCCATCACACAAAAGGAACTCCTTCCATGTATTTAAGTCGTTAAAAAAAACTATACAGCACACTCTTGGCTTTAATTCTAATTGTGGTGAACTTCCTCACAAAAGCGATCCCGTAATGTAAGGTTAGAGGAAGTTGTGTGGGCTCGTACTCGCACGTAAAACACAGTTTCAGAGGCATTTTGGGGTCAGAATTATTTACTACACAAGGAAGAGAAACAATACTTGAATTAATCATAAAAAGCTCCAAGGGTGTTATCGTAATGGGGAAACAAATAAAGGTTTGTCCACAGTGGATATGTGAAGCAAGCATAGGCCTATGTTGGTCTGACTAGCTCAAATGGCCGCTTATTATTACACACGTACTATCATTCAGCGACGAGACGGTAATCTTCCTCGTTTCCCAAGCCAGAAAGATCCCGAATGCCAGCAGAATTCCCTTCGCGGTGTAAATCGCGCCCGTAAAATAGCTCATGTATTTAGAAGTGCAAAAGGGAACGACGGAGACAACATATATCTCTTCCTTAGGCTGAGAGGTGTCCAGCTGTGAACAAGAAATAACGAGGAGAAAATTCGGATCTCCATGCATACTGTTGCTTGATTGGGTTAACACACGGTGTCACCTAATGTAAGCTCAGATTTCAATTGTCACACCTAAAACGTTTGGCTCAAACGTTAATTCCAAGCTAAATTCTGAGTTACAAGTTAGAGTTAAAGAGCTAAAAACACACAATGGCCCACAGCGCCAATTTTAAATTGTGGAAGCGGAAACCATCGAACCATGACGTTCTCCACTCTTGTATAAGCCAGAAGCACACTGACTCAACTCAGATCTAAATGTGCAAGTAATACTCCCTAAAAACTGTTATGATCTTATCTGCCTTGAGCAGAGGTATTCCCTCGTCGGTTGGAAAAAGTTATGCTGTTGGCGAGTGTTCATTCTTTTGGTAGTGATGCAGCCCCCATGCGTGCATTCCATTGTTAGTCGCTGGTCACCCAGCTCCGTCGAGCCTCCGTTAAAAAATTGCGCCCTCTCTTGGTCTAGCTCGGGGCTCATGTAATTATTGTTCGTCGAGCTAGCTGATCCAACACTACGCTTGTGCAGGACAAGTTTTCGGAACTGACAAGAGTGGATACGAATTTCTGAAACTTACCACTGGATCAGACCTGGTTTTGCCAACTTTCATCTCGCCAAGGAATATCCACGTCGCGAATATCACGATGTCAACAGCCACAGCCAGAAAAACACCCAGGATCAGCTTGTAATTGGGTAAGTCCTACGTTTATGAGGGAAAATGGACAAAGAAGATACGCTAATGCGTGTTAATCGAACATTCTGAGTGTTATCAGGGAACTGCATTAGACTGCTAGGTGAAGTAATTTGATAACAGTGAGGGCGTTTTATCAACATCACTTCAGCACCACAGTTTTGCACTGTAATTTCTGGAAAGGCTAGAGCAGAGTGAATATTGAAGGTACAGTCCATCATTTGTAGTTATCCAATAAGTATCTGGCGAAATTATTGCTGAAAAGCATACTCTGTTTAAAGATTGCAATAAAGCTAAACTGCTATTAAAAATATTCTTTCTGGCAAGCTGAAATTTTGATGCAACTAAGGCTAGAAATGCGTTCTTAATGATTGCCATAAGAAGCGCCAGCCAATTTTTAGACGGAAACATGCACGCGCGGTTACCATAATTGGTCGGCTCAGCAGGTAACATTCGTAGCTCCAATCGTCTGAACTTGAGAACATGTCCAGACACTGAATTCAGGCGTAATTCAAAACATGACTCGGCAACTTTTGATCTGAAATTGAAATCCTGGTTTTCTTTAAGGATCTGCAGTATTCACTGAGCTGACACTTCATTAGGTTTGCTCTTACAGGCACTTCCTCCGGACTTTGAGTTAATTTCTTTCCAAACAGAAACATAATGCATAAATGACAAATAATGGACTCTACCTTCAAAGCACGTTTTACAGATGGGACTCAGAGCTCTGTGCATATGCATGCGTCCAAAAACGCAGAACTCTACCTCTAATGAAATACACGGAGTAAGTTATGAGAGGGTTCGGTCGAAGGCCATAAATTGACTGTGGCTGCATTCCAGCAGATTTCACAAGTTATAACTCGGGTTCATTCTCATTCGCAAAACCTTGCTTGACAACCAACACACACAGCCCACCCAGGTCAGGGTTGTCACAAGGGAGCTATGCTAATGCACCCTACAATTTTGTACTGCGGGTTGCAAATTTGTGCAATTTTAAAACGTCAACAACA